ACAGAAACAAACTACTATAAAATCATATTTTTTAGTTAGAATGTTAAACTAATAATTTTGCTATTTTTGATGTTAAGAGATTCGCATGACAACGAGATTGAACTCGTAAAAAAATTCGTCCAACATTGTTGTACTTAGACTGTTAAATTAATAAGACAATCAAGATATCAACCGTTTCGATAGAGAAGAATTTATTTCCAAAGTAAAACTATTTTATAAGAAAAATAATATATCTGATTCATAAAGAAGACAAAATACAGTGATATTGCCTGGAATTATTTGAAGAACAAGAATATTCTTAAATAAAATATAATAGTGTTTTTGATAAATGAAAAAAATTGTTCAGTTTATATTTACTTGCAACAAAACCGGTACGCTTTTAATGCATTAAACGAAGCACGAAAAAAAAAAMMACTAATGTTTATACCATGGTTTGATGCAATTCTTGGTTCATCCCGCGAGTTTGATCATATCACATCAACGGGTCAGACGAGTTTTAAATTTGAGCATTTGACAAACCGACAGAAAAAATCATGTAGATCTTTTATGAACGAACAGGTCCAGTTCGTATGCATAAGGCATGGAATCATATCAGAAGCAGTAGAAGTTCTTCCTGAATCACTACACGAACTAATTTCCTCATTCGTGCATTTAGTAAATAATCCCAGGATCCTGATAATCTATTCCTTGTACCTGTCATTGCATAATTCAGATCTTARAATATATTGTTGAGCGAACGTCCTGATATGATCGTCAAAACGGATCCATTTGTGCCTCGTTTAATTGAAATTTGATTTGCAGCATGAACATTATAAGAAAATCATGTTTCTTCCTTTCTATCAGGTTCGTCGTGTTCTTGGTTCAATTGACATCTCTTTCCGTTTCATACGTTTTGTTTTCATGTTTAATTGAATGATCAGTTCACGTGCTCAGTACGTGCATGTACAGCACGTGTAGCGTACGGAGGGGGTGCACCTCCCCCCCCCCCACCAAGGTTTGCTTTTGGCACCGAAATTTAATTAATTTATGCGGGATTCCGTGGTACATCCCCCCTCCCCCAAATATTCAAGACCTTGTTACGTACATACTTGTATGTGGCACACATATATATAAAGCTCATTTTTTGTGAGCATTATCATATTATATATAAAAATATATATCTATATATGACTTGTGCATACAGACACGATTTCTACATTGTATGTGTATAAATAAGAAAATACCTTGGTCAGTTTCAGTTAATTCCTTAGGAATAATCCAGTTTATAGAATGCATATTATCGATATTACTAAATCTTTATACTCCGTCGTTTTAACGTAACGCGTTGTTCTTATACTTTCGTGCGGTCTTGTAGGGTTCTCTCTCATTTCTGTTTTCCTAGGTATTATATCTGTCAAATAGGACTGGAGAAATACCATTGAGCATGTATTTGCCGGCCTTGAAACTTGTCCAAAGTCCAAGTGAAAGGTGTCTAACCACAACGTAATTTTCTCGCTTTCTGATTGGTCAAGAGCCGTGGTAAATAAGAGGAGATACCACAATATGATAATTGCTTTGCATAAAACGACTTTTGCTTTACAGGTGGAGTATTGACGTCGACACCATTCATTTACCTAAACTAAAAAGCGTTCAGGCTAAAATTATTCATTATTTTCTTTCTTGAAGTCCTCATGCCAGCGGCTTCATGTTCTTGTCTTGAGATAGTAAACGTTTTATATAAGCTATAACTAGGAACGGACGACCAATAGGACAAGTTTTCCCATTTCGTTTATTTATCATTTGAAGTGACAACGGTAACCACTTCATTTAATGATTTTATTCACAGAAACTGCCAAAATCGTGGTTTTAGAGATGTGGCTGAGGGCTCAAATTGAAGGATATATTGTCATTAGAACTCTTATCGTAGGGAAAATGCATTCTCATTATTATTGTCTGTCAAAGCTTCCTGTTGGTATTATTGGAAAAAAAACACCCTCAATCTATCTCTACATAACCTTTGTTTCTATAAAGCTGTTATCCCCTGTGGACTTATTAGAGACCTACGAGGCGAGGACTAAACACTTTATCATCGTCGTCAAAATAGGTAAAAACACTTTAGCTCTACTGAAACATGGATTCAAATGATTCAAATGGTGCAGTGAGTCATGTTAGTGGCATAAACAATACAATACATTTTTATTTTCAAACATGATACATTTCAAGTTAGACATTATTTCAGCTAAATTACAATGTACAGGTTTAGTTTTTGTATAATATAAAGCAGTTTTATTTGTAATTTTTCATTTTTGAATGCCTAGAGGCTAAATCAACTAAAATTTTTCGTGTTAGCCACTAGTCATTTTAAGTTATATTTGTTATGAGCATAATTTAAATTAAATTAAACAAAGGAATAAATCTAAGACAACTCATAAACATTGGTTGATCACCTAAGGCAGAAAAGCTAAAGGAGGAAATTTGCTATTTTTGGTGTATTGTTTAGTATTCTTTATTTCTAGCAGCTGATAATAAAACATTTTCGGTTTTGAATAACTTGAATTATGTTTTATTAAGGTGCTTGATTAACAGCACAAACTGCATAATAATAACAATACTATAGTAATAATACTTATTATTATAATAACTTAATATAAATCAATTAGTTAAATTTATTATTAGCTTTATCATAGTAGACTTTTTTATATAGCTACAAGCTCGTATATATATATATATATATATATTAAATCATCACATGATAGTTTCTTTTATATTCATTAAGGCAAATATGATAGAATCATATGACGATGTAAGATATATCATATATGATATAAGAAGCTTCCTTTATATTAACAATTGCACAAGACGTCCTTTATATTAACAATCGGCACGAGTTATTTTCTAGCTAATTTTAATTCGACGATGTTTTGTTGTAGCACACGCTCATTCATAGACAAGAACCGCAAACCTGACCTGCCTGTATAGCAAACAACCAACCATCCTTTATAATCGGAACGTTTAAAAGGTYAAAAACTGACACAATCTTTGCTGAAATAATCAACCGTCTGATAGTCTCTAAGTGTTTATTTGTTCATATCTCAGTATTAGCACCGACAATAGGAATTTCCAYACTCATTGCAAAATCAGTATTGTTTTTATTAGCGCCACCGGATAGCCTGTTTCAACATACGATAATTGCGCAATCTTCTCTTCCTCCAGCGTTTTGCAATTGAAACCATACGAAGGATGTGAAAGTTAGATAAATTTCTCAAAAGAATAATACRAAAGCCAGACACGAGTTTGGTGACACTTGGTTATTTGTAATTTTAAAATGTCTAGTYACAAAGCACAACTATGACACCTGTCGACACCCGTACAATAAAGAGTGAATTTGAAAAATTGATTTAGGATTAATTTAGACTATTATATATAAACTTGTGCTAGGATGCTATATAAATAAGACACGATTTGATGATTCTATATTTTACAAGAGCCCCTGTACATGATGATCTGATACGACTTTCCTACATTATGCCGTAGCATCGTATATAATTATAAATATGTTAATAAATCTATTTTGGATCTTAAAATCCATGGGATTTTGATTTTTACTTTTTTAATTGGATTTTTGATGTTTTGATTTTTGAACTTGTTTTAATCCCCCTCGATTCTTTGGTTTGCCCCCAAACTTAAAGAAAGGTTCTAACACCTATTTCAAAAAACGTTGTCATCGACATAGGTGATAGGCAATAGGCGAAAAGCGATTGGAAATAGATCATTCCAAGATCCATTGAAGAATATCTGGAATGACTTGTGTTTCTGCATCTTATTTTCGTCAAGAACATCAGTGGACATTAGYGTTGAGACTGATTCAATGTTTGCAGTCGACGAAACCATTTCCGTCTAGGAATGACCTATCGCCTTTGGCGATGACAATGTTTTTTGAAATAGGTGTAGACGTAGTGATTACTGTAAATGCATCTCGTACATACATACCTTATATCATTCTACAGGGGTTGCTGTTTTTCATGATGATTAATTATAAGGCTTGAATGCTTGCTAACAGCTAGATCAGTTAGAGGGTGCCGATGGGGATACCCAATTGTCAGTTAACTTCTATATTTTTCAGCCGAATGTCAGTTAAGTATAATACTTTTACGAGCGCTGGCCAAAGTGATGAAATTTCTTCTGCATTTTGACCCGGTTTGTTTTTAGTAAAAATTGCCATTGCATTAAAAGCTGCTTTTAGTAAGATACAGAAGAAATAACTAACTTAAAACTAGTGTGAGCTGCGTCGGTGTTTCTAATGAAACAGTAATGATAAAAGGGTAAATTTTACACCGTGAAAAGATGAAAAACTTACTGACTTTTCCGACGCTAGTCCTTCGTCGGAGTAAAAAAGAAAGATACACATCAGTAAGAAGATGACTCACTTCTGTCCACCATCATATTGTTACATAATAGTACACATCAGCTAGAAGATGACTTACTTCTGTACACCATCATATTGTTAC